GGAAACTGCTGTGCATTCCTAGAAATTCCAGAACGACGGTGCAGAAGCATACCAGCGAAACCGGTTCGCGACCAGACACAAGCCACATTTGATGTGAGGGTTGCAGAAGTCTAATCTGCCCTTTAGAAGGCATGCAGAGGTTGCTGCTTTTCTTTAAACTGGTAACTTCAGTGTTTGTTAATGCTAACTTTTAGTTATGCAAACCTTTGGTCAGCATTGTCACTCTGCGATCCATAACGGGAGCATGATCCGTACAATCAGCGCATGCGCTGCGCAACCAGATAAGCATCCGGGTTGCCCTCCACTATAATTACGTTAATGTATTTCCTGAGAAAACAAATGCCCTAAAATTGTTTTATAACTTCTGTGCTCCGGAAAATGAATCTTATGCTATTTCCTAGAGCTAACTTTTTCGGCTTTGGATCAACGAAAATGCGGATAAACATGGTTAAATCATACTTTGCCAGACTACTCTGAACACGTCTGATGATGACGTCAGACAAGCAGTTTAACTGAGAAAATGTAAAAAAAACATCAAATTGTCCCAGAAAATTCAGAAATGTTTTAAAGATGTGTATTAGCATGCTTTACTGATTAAATGATAGAAATTACTACTTTTATTACTATGACTATATTATTTATTGCGCCCTGGATGAATATCTGCTTGCACATGCTCAACTGAACTGATGGTACGGATTGTGCTTCCGGTACAGATCAGGTAGCGACAATTATTAAAAACTTGGCAACTGGCTAATAAACAGTATGGAAGGAGAGTGGGCAAGCTCAAGGGCACCACCTTCTGGCTGGGAGGACTTTAACTTGTAGCTAGGGGGGGACATTTATGTATCATCTATTATTATTGTGATAAATTTAAATAACATGATAACATGATTTGGCGCTATATAAATAAACTGAATTGAATTGAATTGAATTGAATTAGAATAAGAAAAAAAAATTGTGAATTTAATCTTTAATATGTTTCTTCTGTGTTTATTTGTCACTGTGGTTTTTGCAAATTTGAAAAAATATGATCAAATGTAATTACCACGGATGTTTAGTGATATTAATCACACTGCTATCCAGAAGAAGACTATTTTAAATGTGTATGTAGTGTTGTGGGGCTCTGATTGCTGTGGCGTGCATTCACAGCTAGTTTCCTAAGAACGGCTACAAAGAAGTAATGAAAAGTGTTTTTATCATCAATTCTGTCATAATCTCGATAGCGCTACAAAATACCTTAATAAGATTTCAAGGCCATATCCACCAGCCCTACTTGTATCTAATGGTTAATGGATTAAAAAATATATAATCACAATAAGAATTAGTCATCTTGTGATAATAACCACTGACTAAATTACAATTCATACTCCGTAAAAACCGACAACATGATTGGGATTTTCAGTTTGGCTGTTTGTGAGTTTCAAATATAACTGATAATAATTAACTTAATGTTTTAGCTGCCCATTTGTGCTGCTAAAAGTGTTAAGAGGAATAGGTCTTTATAAGGGTGAATGAAATAATGGTGATTATCCTTTTAAACAGCATATGTGTTTGTGAGGCTCTGACTTTCTGCAGATATGGATTTATAACCTTTTTCAAAGTCAAAGTCAAACTACTTTTGTCCTACATGTTAATAAAACCATCAAAATAAAGTGATTTTATTGTAATTAGATCATATTGCTAGTCCTTGGATGTGGCTACAACACATCCAAACACATAGAGCTACAGACATTAATGTCAGCTTGGATTATCAGTGGACCGTACATCACATCCGAGCAACTGGATCAACCACGTCTGTCGCATGACCTGGTTTTTATACCGGATTAGAAAATGAGATGCAACATTCCAGCACTGAGATGCAGACATTTAGGAACTGATACAGAGTAAAGACACGGGTCCACTGTGGTAGAGGATGAGCCAGGTGGTAGTTTGTGTCCCACTATCAATATAATCCTCTTGTGGAGCCTATTAGTGGAGGCAGGCTTTCAGGGCAGGGGGGTTAAATCACATATTTGAAGAACCTATGAACACTTGGACCCAGTAACAAGGCAACATCTTGCAGTCTAACGCGTATTTTTATATAATCACACCCAATATTATATATTTGTACCAACGTATATGCTCTCAGATAGGTACAGATGGGTCAGATATCAGTGCATTAAAAATCTTGCAGTTTAAAACAGTTTCCCAGCTGAATGGAAAATAAGGTAAGACACTGTCCCCTCCCCCACCTGTTGCCAAATAGGGATGATGATCCAATTCATATCATCATCCAATTCGGGTCATGCATCGGAATCCAATTCCGATGCATGACCCGTCCTTTGGTATACATGACTGTCAACAAGACCTAAAGACATATGAGCCATTTACATGCAGTGATACAGTGCTCCCCCTTCTCCCGCCTATTGTAGCAAACTGTCAGAAATATGAATATCACACCCTTTTCCTCAGTTACAAGAAAGAGAAACTTGGCTCTTTGGAAATATTTCCTGTCATGCAAAACCCACACACCAAAAAGAGGAACGAAACGTGCACCACCCAACCTCAGATAATTAGGTAACACTATTTTAAAGCCTTTGTTGGTGAGAAGAGATCTATTTCTTCAGACACTACCTGAGCAGCCCAACTAATAACCTCTTAATATCAACTCATGTCTATATTTCTATTTAAAAAGCTGAAAGACAAAAAAAGATTGATTAGATATAGGAAAACATTTTTGCTTACTTTCCATTTCAAGTTATTCTTTCTGATGAAAATAAATAAATAAATGTTTATGATACAAGTATCATGTCTGTAATAACTGATGCCTTAATTCTCATGGCGGCAGTAGGAATTTTGGGTATATTTTTCATTTCAGAAAAGATTTACCATCAACAACAAGGTTAGAGATTTTGGTTTTAGATCCATTTTAGGCTATTTATTGACTTTATGCGATTTTATTTTTTTCTTAGTTATCAACCAATAGAGATGTCACGTCAGCCTATCCCCACTACATTTACAGCACATTTAACAGAACATGCCCCTCCTTCAGAGCACCAGTTGTTCAGTTATGACCCCCAACCTGCAGCTCCACCAGAACAGGTTCTACAGGTTCTGTACGGGCTAATGAGTGGAGCAGATGGAGCAGCTGTCTATGGGTGGTACCACCAAAAAAAGCAATGCTAAGGAGCCCATTACACACTGCAGAGGGGCCACTCATCCTACATTTGTCCACAACTAAAACCCTCGTAAGACTATCAACTACACCCGCCCTTCCCATTTCTCATCACACCATCAACAAAAGTATGGCATTAGTCTAAAAACCAGAAAAATGCCTATTATCTTTAGAGGGAATGCTACAAAAACAATCTAGAAATGAGTAAAAAATTCTTAAATTAAGTGAATTTGTCCTTAATTTGAGTTGGTAAATAAGATGATCTGCCAATGGAATAAGATTGTTCAATCTTAAAATAAGATAATTAGATAATATGCTCTTGAAATTATGGAGAACCAACTCTGCCATATCTAAAAAAATAAATACAGGAATAAATAAATGCTCAATAAATACATAAGTATTCAATTAATTGCCCCCAAAAATAAAATAAAAACCCCTCCTTATTTGCATAATGAGGCATA